CCTTATCAAATACACGGAATGCTTCTCTAATTTCTTCCTCACTGTCTGTGTCTTTCATTTTTCTTGCCATCATTGTCAGAAATTCAGGGAAGTCAATTGTACCATTGCCTGTAATCGTTTAGTTCAAACATTATGTAGACTGTAAATACCTCTTCTTCAAACCATCCCACTCCCTGAAAATGAAGACTTACCGTCAGCATCTACTTCATTAATCATGTCCTGTAACTCCGCTTCGGTGGGGTTCTGCCCAAGAGACCTCATGACAGTTCCCAACTCCTTTGTTGTTATAGTCCCATCCCCATCCTTGTCAAATAGTGAAAAAGCTTCTTTGAATTCTGTTTGAAAGACCACAATCCAAATACATATTTGTTAACAAGAAAAGAATTCCCAGATGAGATGTACGTAGTAACTGACTCCCAAGAAAGCAAGACATTATTGGAGATAACTAAAATGAGATTTTGATTTCTAACAAATGAAGTGGAAAACCTCATGAAAATATTTCAAACGTATCTGTCTAATCAGACTAGTCTATGCTCTAAGTTACCAGTGAGTTTACTAATATATATAACCTCACAGGGAAATCCACATCTAGTTCAGAGAAAAGTAAAATTATTCTAAGTTGAAAGAGCAAATGCCTCAAATCCCCAAATGACTAGCTTCTCTATTTTCTGCTGAAGCTACTCTGTGTAATGTATTTCAAAATTATGGCTCTAACTTCACTCACAATAGAAAGATGACTGGGAACTACTGCTACTTATAGAGCAACTATATTGTTTATTTGCCTTACACTTAGTGTTAACCTCAAAGGTTAAAACTGTCATCACCTATTATATTCAAACCAAAACACTTTACACTTACTGTCCAATAGGCTAGTTTCCTTTTCAGAAAGACAGAGGGGCTAGCATCAAATAATCTATGCAGATTAACACAATGGGTCCGTGAAGATGTGAATGTAAGTTTTAGCTAAGAGCTGTACTACTAGAGCAAAGGAAATTTAGATCCTTCTTCAAAACATGAAACTCCAACCTTGTAATATAGTGAAGTATATTATTTCTTAAGGTATTCTTGTGACATTTCATTCCTTCTAATTCACTACCAGATCTGAAAAGATGGTAGAGCCAACACTCCATACTACTGGCTTTGCCATTTATTTTCAGGTAGAAAAACCAAGACTAAACTTGGTACAAGATTATACCAATGAGTTAACAGCAAAGCTATGATCTTCCCAATAAGGTACTTCCTTTTTTTTTTTTTTTGGTTTTTCTCCGGTACCAGGAACCGAACTCACGACCTTGCACTTGCCAGGCAGGCTCTTTGCCGCTGAGCTAAATCCCCAGCCCCCCAATAAGGTACTTTCTAAAAAGATTATTAGATCCTATCAGCAAGCAAATATCAAGAGTCCCCAAAGTTCACTGGCCCATTAAACTTTCCTAACATGTCTATGAATTTGAAAACATGTACCTAACACCGAAGAAAGTATCTTCCCTAACAGTTCAAGGTCATTCATTCCTTGTCTATCCCTGATCCAATTCATAATACCTTCCAGTTCCATTTCATATTATAGTCTTACCTTGGTACTCTGCTTTGAAATTCACAGCATTCAACAAATTTCAATGTGAAAATTTTGTCTGCTACTCATTTGTTTGAGCATGCAAGCTAGAACCCGTGGTATCAATTGCACCTCATGACTTACTATCCTTTCCAGCCAAAACAATGCTTGACACTCATCACTTCTCACCTCACCTCCCAGAACGAATTAACAATGAGTACCACGAGTGCTGACATAACACTGTATTTCAACTACTTCTCTACTGACTTGCTCTTTAACCTAACTATCTTTGATTACTAGCCTAAAACTAAACTCAAACATTAGTTATATATTTATTTTTTAAGTACCTGTCCTTATCCTTCTCCAAATTATAGGAAGTACCACTCCACTACTCTTTCAATCCGTTAAAAATCACTGTACCATCTCGTCAGCTGAGCATGTTAAATTCATCAATGACCACCTAGTTGTCCACAATCCATCAAGTAAATTTCAGTATGCTAGCCAAATGGCATAAAAACTAAAGCAGGCTTTGTAACTGGACTTCCTGTGTTAAAACCATCTCAGCTGTGCTACTTAGTAGCAATGTAAACATGGCAGGACTTTCCTGCCCTCAATTTTGTTTTTATTAAGTGAGGGTAACTGTATCTACTTTCCAAGTTTAAGGATACTTGTAGCAGGGCCAGGTGGCAGATGCCTGGAAATTCCAGCTACTTGAGACGCTGAGGCAAGAGAATGGCCAAGTTTTAGGCCCATCAGGCAAATTACTCAGACCCTGCCTCAAAAGCAAAATGGTAATTCCACACTCAAACAACCGTAAGGACACAAAACCCAAGACCTAAACCTGTGGACAAGTTCTGTTGAACTCTACCAAATACCGCCCCCAAGCTAAGAATGGTGGCCTATATTTGCACCCCAGCAAGATGAAGATCTCAACTTCAGCCTCAGCCTGAGCAACTTAGCAAGGCCTTGTCTCAAAAGGGGTGGGGGTCATAGGGGGAGGCCCAGAGTTTAACCTTCTCGTACCTATGGAAATAATGAATACTATACTGCCTACAGGGCTACTTAAGAGGAGAATAAGGCAGGAGCACTGCCAAGTTCAAGGCCAGCCTGGGAAACTTTGTGAAACCATGCCTCAAAAAGCAACAGAATAGGGGTTGGGATGTAGCTCAGTGCTAACCTAGGTTCAATCCACAGGACTCCAAGAAGTAAAATATAAATACTGCTTTATTCTTTCTTCATCTCTACAACTAGTATTTTGGTTCAAGGGCCAATCACCTTTTATCTGGTCTATTACAATTACCCCCAGCTCGGTACTTTAAAATTACTCACACTCCTTAAGTCCTATTACCTTTTGAGACCACCATGTTAACTCTTTTCTGTCTAAAATATTTTAATTGCTTAGCTTTATTTGGATTAAGTATTACACTAATTTGCAGTACCTAGTTTGCTGCATTCAATGTATGTAATATAATTCCATTCCAGTTAAGTATTACTTATTTCAGAAGGTATCAGAATACCTGATTTTATGAAATATACAGGGCAACCTAGATCAATGTAGTATCAAAAGCAGATCGGCAAGTTCCTCCGTACAAATAGCAGGATTTAAAGAAGACATTTTCATTTTACTGAGTATTTTTTTTAACAAGATGTACGAATTGTTTAGGAACACAAACTTATATAAGAGTTCAAACACACAGCACCTACCATCTAGTAACTTGGGTAACAAAAATTTATTGGGACATGTGTTTGTTTATATTACATTCTCTGCTACTATACACCTTACAAGATTAGGCACATAAATTCCAAATATTTAAAAGTAGTAATGCTCTGATTTAACTTTAAGCTCAATTCTGGAAGATGCATTTATATATACATGTTCTAAATTTCAGTTAAGTTTTAAAATCTAATTACCCTTAAAATGTTTGCTGAAATGAAAAGCCAAAAATAAAAATTATCCAAGCTATACCTATTATTTATGCTTTATGCACAAAAAGGAATGTTTAAAGGTCAAGGTTTATTCCAATTTTCAACTTGCACCTTACATTGAATACTCAAACACCTATTAAAAATCCTTGAAGAATCTCAAAGTACAATTTACATTCACCTGACTTTCCGAACTAGCATATAATTCTAAACATTAATTCTTAGAAATGATCTGAAATATAAATCCACAAGTTAAAATGCAAACACAACAAAAAAAAGTCCTAAAAGGTCAGCTATCCTCTATGTATTTAAGTGTACAGGACTTCCCAAAAATTCATTCCAGTTATGCTGAAACTGCAATTTTTAGAAAAGTCACATATATTTACTTGAGCTTTATTTATTCATTAGCAATCCCAGGACTCTTTCCTAATTGATCAATAAACCTATACTTTTATTTTTTTTTTTTTGGTTTTTCTCCGGTACCAGGAACCGAACTCACGACCTTGCGCTTGCCAGGCAGGCGCTTTTGCTGCTGAGCTAAATCCCCAGCCCCCCAAACCTATACTTTTAATTAAAACAAGTTATCATGAACAATTGCAACAACTACAAAGAAATTCAAATGTTTAGTACTTTTATTAAATTTTGACCTTGAAAATTTAAGAAGGGTGTCGGCACACACTTAAAAGAAAGACATTCTTGTACGTTTTTCCTATCAGTCTCTCAAATGTCACACACCAACAAGTGAAGACATGGCAAACCCATGAAACTTGCTAGGGATGGCATACTTGCCTGAAGTGCTCTTTAAAAGCACCTAATACAGACCATTCTCATGAACTTTTTTTTTTCTAGAACAAGTTATCTGCTGTTCGAATTTCTAAACAAATCTGTAATTTGTGATGGTAAAAACAGCTTCAAAAGTACCACTGTATGTGCACGCACATGCATGTACACGCACATGCATGTACACACACATGCATGTACACACACACACACAGTTTTTTGGGGGTGGGGTATCAGGAACTGAACTCAGGACCTTGTGCTTTCCAGGCAGGCGCTTATGCCACTGAGCTATATCCCTGGCCCCCAATACAATCCAAGTTGCATTATAATTATGAAACTTGTCATCATTTTTTCTGGAAGAACAAATGGACCTTTGATTCAAAATATTGAGTCAAACTACACAGCAAGACCCTGTCTCAAAACAAAAAAGATGTTAAAGGAAGAAAACTTGCCTTCACCTCAAAAGCACTGAAATACACTAAACTTCAGAGGAAGGGACTTTAGGAAGGAGGCAGAAGAATTTGCAGGGTAAGGTAGTACCATTCTGTGACATCTTTTTTTCCACACACCTCAGAGAATGAAATTTACCCATTCAAGAAGTATTTATTCAGTGCTTACTATGTGGCACTGTAAGGAACAAAAAAGGTCCCTGACTGCACATAGCTTTTATTTTAAGCTGCATGTAAGTTTTGGTTCCTCTAAAAGTTTACTAATGCCTAGTCCAAGGAACAGCTTTAAAGAAATGTGGTGCAGGAAAAGGCAGGACAGGGTGAGTTAACAGCAGATTTTTCTTCCAATCCTAGTTTTATGATGGAAAGAAGTCAAAGAAAAATAATCTATCTTAAGGACAAGATTCTGATGAAATGTACGTATTCTTTACAAAATGCTATCAATCAGATGTACAGTTATTACTAAGCATGTTATGTAACTGAAAAGTATTCTTAACTAATCATGGTATATCCGTAAAATGGGCATCATCATACTCTTATTTACTAAAACAAGAAAAAAACTATCACTCAAGACTGGATCTAAACTGGGCATGGTGGTGCACACCTGTAATCCCAGCACCTGCGAGGCTGAGGCAGGAGGATCATGGCAAGTTTGAGACTAGCGTGGGCTACAAAGTAAGCTCAAGGCCAACTGAACTGCACAGCAAGACCCTGACTCAAAAAGTCCAAAAAAAAAAAGACAACTTAAGCTGGGTGGATATGGTAGTGCACACTTGAAATCCGAGTACTCAGGAGGCTGTGGGAGGAGGATTGCTGTGAGTTTGAGGCCAGCCTGGGTTACACAGCGAGTCCACAGGCCAGCCTCAACTATATAATAAGGTCCTATCTCCAAAAAAAAAGTCCCCTTAAGTAAATATATTTTCTAAAGTGATTATTCTGTGTTGTGTCCAGAGGGACAGTACTTGCCTGGAAAAACTGAGAAATTAAAGCAAAGTATATTACAAAAGGTCAGAATTTAAGAATGAATATCAAACCTAAGTATATCAGGAAAATTTATCTTGTTAATACACTTAAAATGGCATAGGGCTGGGGATATAGCTCAGTGGCGCAGTGCCTGCCTGGCAAGTGCAAGGTCCTGAATTTGACTCCCAGTACCAAAAATAAGTAAATAAAATAAAACAGTACAGGACATGCATGATAGCACAGAACTGTAATGCTATTATTACATAGAACTGTAATGCTATCAACCAGCTATTGGGAAGGCCAAGGCAGAGCCAAACTTGAGATTAGCCTGGGCAGTTTAAGCAAGATCCTGTCTCAAATAAAAAGGTTGGAGATGCAATTCAGTAACAGAGTATTTGCCTTGCATGTGTGAAGTCCTGGGTTCAAATTTCAGTAACACAAATGAATAAATAAAATGGTATAGCTATGTAATATATATGAGAGATCCTGGGTTGATCTTTAGCACTCTGAAAAAATAAGCAAATGCAATGGTATAACTAAACAGTTTGCTTGACTGTTTTAACACACTTAAAAACATGATTTGTCAACTCTAGAAAGTAAATCCCAAATTTAACTCAAATTATACAATAAGTAGTAAAAATAACACCTGTTTAAATTTGGTTCTTAATTCTAATAGCTTTCTACTTAATCATTTAATATTTGAGGAGACTAGTCCTCAAATTTCTGTGTATTCATGGAGGTGGAAGACTTGTTTTAAATGAGCAATACATCAAGCTACACAAACACTTGAGTGCATTTTCAAGCACTTAACAAACTCGCTCACTGGAAAAAATGGCAGTTAAATTACTTGGTGCCTGTGCTAATAAAAGCCTAATAGAATCAAAAGAATAGTCTGAAAGGCATTCTGACATCTCAAAACACCAAAATAAATCAAAAGCATTAATGTTTAAACAGTAAAGCACGAAGACAACAGGCTATCATTTTAGTCATTTCCATAGCAAACCAAAAGAAGATGTAAGAAATTTCACTCAACAGTTATCAGTGCTTTTTTTTTAAGTCAAAATTCAAAATTACTACAGTAACATTTGTTAAATTTTTCTACAGAAAAACAGTTACACAGACTGAGTATTCCTTATCTGAAATGCTTGGAACCACAGTGTTCTGGATCTCAAAATTTATGTACATATGTAATGAGACATCTTGAGAACGGGACTCAAGTCCAAAAACAAAACTCATTTACATTTCATATACAACTTAAGCACATCACCTGAAGATAACTTCACGCAATAGTGCACCTGAAAATTTTCACTGCCACTTATCACAAAGTCACGTGTGGAATTTTATACTGGGTATCATGTCAGCATTCCAAGTTTTGAATCTTGGAGCATTTCAGATTAGAGATATCAAATTAAACATGCACTTCTAAGCTTAAAATACTAGCTTTATTTAAGTCAGTGTAAATTTAATGTTCATTTTCTGATTGGACATTTCAAGTTACACTTGGCCCCCCTTTCTTGTAAATACCAGTTAGGAGTTACATGATTATTAATGAACTCATAATTCATGTTTCCTTTTTTCCACATTTTATTATGGCAAAGTAAACTTACCATACTAATAATTTCTAGTGAACAGTTCTGTGTATAAATATATTCATACTGTTACACACATCACTATCCATTTCCATAACTTTGCCTTGTAAAACCGAACCTTTGTAGCCATTAGTAACTCCCATTTTTCTTCCCAGCCCCTGCAACTGCCATTCTGTTTTCTATTTCTGTGATTTTTACCTACTCTGAACCTCACATATCTGGAATTATCCAACATTTGTCTTTTGTGATTGACTTAATTCACTTAGCATAGGGTATGGTGGCCCATGCCTATAATTCAAGCACTTGGGAGGCTAAGGCAGTGGGATCACTGCAAGTTGAAGGCCACCCACGGTTACCTAGTGGGCTCAAGACCACCGCAAACACATAGCAAAGGCGCTGTCTCAAAAAAAACCCCACAAAACTGTATTTATCTCACTTAACATAATGTCCTTACTGAAACAACTGTGAGTGTTGGTGGGAATGCAAAAAGGTACAGTCACTGTTATAGAACACCATGGTGGCTCCTTTACCAAAAAAAAAAAATCCCACATAATCCAGGAAAAACTACCTCAGGGTATATATCCAAAATATCTCAAAACAGGATCTCAGAGGAGTATTTGTACACTCATGTTGATAGCTGCATTATTCACAAAAGCCAACAACTCAGATGTTTGATGGATGAAAAATGAATATGTATTAAAATGTACATACACAATGGGATATAATTCAGCCTTTAAAGGAAGTTTTTAGAATTCATGTTTTATAATAAGGTAGTCTTCAAAAAATAAAAAATCATCACCACAACCAGGCCCTCAAAATAAGATTAAAATACATGTCTTTATTTTTTTTTATGGTTTTTTTTTTTTTGGGGGGGGGGGTTTCCTCCAGTACCGGAAATCGAACTCATGACCTTGTGCTTGCCAGGCAGGCGCTGTGCCGCTGAGCTATATCCCCAGCCCCAAAATATATGTCTTTAATTAATTAGTTGCCCCATGCATCTTTCACAGGCAAGTTTACAATCTCACCTGCCAAAGCAGCTTGTATTACTGTTACATTATATCCATTTGTTACCACCATGACACACATCAAATTCAATTATTTAATACATGTATCTTATTTTCAGTCTGGCTATTCAATTTATAATAAAATCTAATGGGTATAATCTAACAGAGTACTTCTCACCTGCAATCTGCTCTTCAGTCAGTTGGTCAGCCTACAAAGAAATCACAAGGCAGATTAATGACTTAGGAGTATGTAGACTAACAACAGTTACAGAAACAAGTTTTAATACTGTCAAGTTTCACAATCCAATAAAAACATTCTTTCCTTTTTCAAAGTTAGGATACCCAAATTTAACCTCCTATGGCAGATATAAACCATTGTTATTACAAACTGCCACTAAATGAAAGCTAGTATTTAAGAAAGCCAGACTAAAAATTACTCCCACAAATGGTTAAACACATCAATCTGACATGACAGTAGTTTCCCAAACCTAAGAGGCAGGGGAAGAGGAAAACCAGCTTTTACTACTACTTCTCACCTGGCAGGCAAACGCGGAGAATACAGGGTTCTGAACATGTGAACTACAGTATTTACCAAACATTAAGTCCAGTCATCCATTTTCTCTGGATATTTAAAACACCAAAGTAAGCTTACAGCTTGTGATGTTTTTATAGCATGTAGAGAAGGGTTAGGTGGTTTAAAAAAAAAAAGAAAACACCTCAGATTAAATTTGGACAAGTTAGGGTGGAGGAGAAAAAAATTAACAGAGCCACGATTAAGCACTAAAATGTCAGGACATACCCAATATGTACCTTTAAGTTTTAAATTCAGAGCATAATAATGTAGATGTTTGCAAAACAGGCAGATTCCTTTTGGCCCTCACCTTTGGATGTTTCACGGCTTACCAGCACATACATATACAAGAAACAACTGTTTATGTGGTACTAAGTGGGACTGCCAAGAAAAAGCCTCCAATATAAAATCCTTGCCAGTATGGAGTCAAATGTATCACGCTTAATCCATTCATTTTCTTATTGGGGAAGAAAAACAGTATCGCTTCACTTTTTAAAAAAACATTGGCCTAGGGAAGTGTAAAATCTTAATGTGGAACAAACAGCTTCACATTTTCTCTAGGGACAGCATGAAAAATTGTAAAGGCACTAAGAAGGTTCTTTTACCACTTCACAATTCTGATTTGACTATGATGTAAACTGAATTTGTTTCTTTTTTTAAAAAAAAGTCCAGGAGCTGGTAACTTCAAATGCCTAAGTTTCGAAGACACAAACTGTTTTTACTCTTTTACAAGTTCCAATCCTCCACTAACAAATATATGGTGTGAAGTCAATCAAACACGATTTTCCCTTGGAATAAGACTTAGAATCTACTGAATCGAGCCTATGTTTACTTGTTTATAACAGAAGTTGCAGAAAATGTACTTCAAGTCTGTCTGCATTTTGTAGGACTCCATTTCTGAAATAAGGGCAACATGGACAGTAGAAGGAAAAGCATGGTGTTCTGAGTCATTGTTGGGCTGGTATCCCAAGCTCTGCCACTTAACAGCTGTGTGACCTTGGAAATGTTACTCCACCTCTCATAGGCAACTTCACTCTAACACAAAAATAACAATACCTAACTTGCACAGGTTGTTAGGCAGAGTTAAGTGAGAAGCTAAGTAAAGAGCCAGCCTAAAGGGCCAAAGAATCTACAATGTTAATTATCAACCTTACTGGCCCAATTTCCCCATGAAGGATAGATATGTACTACATTATGAAGCCCTTTTCAGCAAACCTACCACGTTCTATAAGCCAAGAAAACAAATCGAAACAAGGTGCAACCTAGGGATACACGTGGCAGGTGCAACTCAACACTAAGGGTGTTAAGCTACATGTGTGACAGGCACTGCTGTGGCATGTGTGAAAGCTAAAGGAATGAGTGCTATGTACAGGAAGGAAGACAGTGGGGTTTGTTCTCTCAACATATTTGGGAAAGGTTCATGTATATTAACAGTAACAAGGCCATTAGTATAAATGAAGTAAGTCAAAATTTAAGGACCTCATGCCAACTTGCCAGTTCTTTTTATCTCCAGGCAAGCACAATCACAATGGATTAAAAAATGTACTTCAAAGAATGAAACGCAACCACAAGACATATTACTGATTATTACATGAAAGCTCTTAACTTTGCGTGGGAGGTTTTGAGACGTTTTCTGTAGGTACTACTTACCTTCACTCAGTGTTTTAAAATAAAGCTTTTCCAGTAACATTCCAATTCAGACCTCCTAAGGGCAAGAATGTAAGACTACTCTTAACTTCTCCAACTACAGGCACATATATTTTTCTTTTATGGAAAAGTGCCCTCTTCCTACAAGAATACTTTTGGGAAAATACAAGCTCATTAACACGTGTTTATCTCAGGAAAGCAAAGACTAATTCACTAGAGAGATAACTAGTTCTTACTCTATTTCTGCAAGTGCTGATATAATTCTGCCTGCTGCTCTTGTCACTCTAGAGAAGGCTTCCATACATTAGTATACTCTCAAGTTCCACTCTAACCTACTCAACTAGTATCAGCATTCTGGGGAACCATGGTGCTTTGCAAACATTGAGAAACACCATGATACAGGAGTGACCTAAAATGAGTGCGTTAAGTACCTATTAAACATTTCCTAAATGGCACTATGTAGATATAAAGTTTATGTGGCCAACTGTTTTTTAAAAAAATCTCAAGTTCTTTTCTGAAAAAATGTACCAGTCCATGGGCTTGAAAGGGAACACAAATTACTATTCTTCATCGCTCCTGTCTGTTCATTCCACTAAAATGCTAGATGAAACAAAGGCTTTGTGTATGTATTTTCTTACACAATTACAGAAGCTGGAATTTCTTTTACCTTTACCAAAACTGTCTAAATGATTTCAGTAGAATGAAAAGACACCTTAATTCTGACAAAACAGCACTTACAGCATCATGAAACAAAACAGAAAACAATGAAAGAAAATGACCACAAAAATTAGGACCTTTACTGAAGATCTAAATTCTAAGTGAAACTAGAACTTTCTGTATTGTGACAGACCCAAAACAAATTATTTTATTTTCTGAGTTTAATAGAAACAGATCCAGGAGTTTAGTAGTTGCGAATCACTTAAGTGTTTTTTACCTCTTTTTATCTTTTATTTACCACCATGGTCTTCTTGACCTAATCCCCCCTTTCAATAAACACATACTGACTACAGCTCAATTCAAGGCCTACATGAGCACTCTGACACATTTCTGTATCATATAGCTTTGTTAACTTGATGTAACTGTAATTTAAAATCTGAAAATCTTTTATGAAGTTACTGGGGGCAATTTTTAAACTAATTAATGTTGTTTAATAAATCTGGTTTGCGTCCTTTGTTGAGTAACTACTTTGAAGATACGTAGTTAATAACTATTGTTATTATTTGGTTACGAAAATTTCTTAATCTTTTTCACTTAAAAACCTCTCCTCCCTTAAAAAAAATTGAATAAATTAACCTAACACCCCTCCCCCATGCGTTAACAACGAAATGTTAACTACTAAAGCTTTTCACTGCCGAAGGACTACAAACCACTTAGATGCAAACTATACAAATCTATTTGAGTTCTTGATTCAATGATAAAAACGGATTAGGAAAAACTCATTCTTTATTTGGTAATTTGAAATTTCCTACACATGCTTATAATGTACGTCCTGTTCTGTGGAGTCCAAATTCGGCCAGCATAAATTTAGAATAAAATATCAAGATAAAAAGAACCCACCTAATCTAAGTGAACGCTAGTTTTATGCAAGGTGAACTCTCCCCACACCCATACAGGCTGGAGGTTTCACTTGGCAAGGACTGTCAACTCCTGTGTAAGATGTCACCTTGCCTCCTGGACACACCCATCTCTGAAACTACTTGGCAGGAGGGATCACCAAAGTACTAAAACTTAAGCCCTCAATTTTTTTTTTACAGAAAAGAAGTTTCCAGCATTGACAGAAAATTACTTTCTAAAATTCCCTGCTCTCCCCCACTCTTCTTCCACTCGAGTACCTGACAGCCCCTGTTGCCTAACGAACTGTACGCGCACATCAGCTGGCAACTTCAAGGATCCGGTCATTCCCGAGGCATGATGTGCAGGGGACGCTCGGTGAGCCCTGCACGAAGACCGACGGGGACCGCGGCCCCGTCCGAAGGCAGCCGTCCAACCGGCGCGGGAGGCAAGACCGACCGCCCCGGCGGGCCGCCGTCCCTCCGGCGCTCGCCCTCGCTCGGGGGCGAGTGGGAACCCGGGGAGCCGGGAACCGCCTTTCATTCCCTACCTGGAGCCCACCGCTTTCCCTAACAGGATGCGTGTTTCGAAGACGCGGCCGAATTCACGCTTAAAGCTCAGGACAAAGCCAGTTATATTTCAGTTTGGGTTTTTTTTGAACGTTTCGGCCGGGTGGCGGAAGGCGCCCCGAGGGCCGGGCAGGGGGGAAAGGGGCGGC